TTAAAATACATTTGAAGCGCGATTAAAAACCAATCTGATTGGCTGGAATTCAATCGCGCTTAAAATGCATTTTAAGCGCGATTAAAAACCACTGTTCTGATTGGCTGGAATTCAATCGCGCTTAAAATGCATTTTAAGCGCGATTAAAAACCACTGTTCTGATTGGCTGGAATTCAATCGTGCTTAAAATACATTTTAATCGCGATTAAAAACCACTGTTCTGATTGGCTGGAATTCAATCGCGCTTAAAATACATTTTAATCGCGATTAAAAACCACTGTTCTGATTGGCTGGAATTTAATCGCGCTTAAAATACATTTTAATCGCGATTAAAAACCACTGTTCTGATTGGCTGGAATTCAATCGCGCTTAAAATACATTTTAAGCGCGATTAAAATAGGTAGGTTTTGGCGGTAATGGCCTTCCATAGGGTCCTGGTAGCCACCGGCTAGATCGCTGGAAATAGTGATAATAGCTACGCGCCTCTAGTTTCGAGAGAAAATTGAACAATCGTATAATAGATATATACAACACTAAAATGGATGTGATTAAATCATCAGGTAGTCGCCCGGCCTCGTTACACAAACCCACACCTCGCCACACTATAAGTACGGGACTCACTAACTAGAAATTGACCGAGAGCTGCACCGTTCTTATCATTACTCAGATGGATCAAGAAATTGTGCACTACCCCACCCACCCCTAGGTATTCGCTCAGGCTGCGGACTATTCGGGGAGTGACCAAGTTTCTCTTACTCAGTGAGGGGTTAGTTTATGCTCTCTAAATTAAAATCAAAGTTTAAACAATTAAATTAATGCAATAGCTATTTCATCCATTTCGCAAATGTTGGACATATAGGCCTATATAATCATTATTAGGCCTACATTACACATATTTATACTAGGCACGCACGCGCGCACGCACACGCACACGCACACGCACACGCACACGCACACGCACACACACACACACACACACACACACACAATCTTATCAGATAAGAATTTGAGGATGTACATTTAGTGCCGTTAGTACTTACTTTTCATGTAAAAAAAATTTCAACAAAAATTTTACAAATATACACCATGGAAGATTCGAGACGTAGTCAATGTAAAAAGCGGTGCGAATCAGTTCCCTTATACCGACTGCATATATCACTGGCATACATATTACTCGATCCTGGGTAGGTATATCAGTATGACATGGAGTGGGATATTGTTTCAAGCTTTCGATAACGGAACATAAAACCAGATGTAACGAAGCCAGCATAAATTTATTATGCATGAATAACATATACACGTATTCATTCATAGGTTAGTCCAGCTATGTATATAGACATTGAAATCACTTTCTCTGCGAGAAAGAAAAATTCGGCGGGAAACTGTACAACGCATAGGAAAATTGTCAATAAAATTCTTTCCATTTCCTACAACATTCAAGGAAAATAATACATTTACTGAATATGACAATGTTTATTCGTGCAATGCTCATCACCGATTAAAATGTACAAGCTCAAAAAATATTTCACTGTAAGTGTTGCCTCCATCACAGCTGTCAATATACTACAACCACATAATTAATATTTCCACTATAAAGTAGATAGAATCGGCTAGGCGAAAAACACCTGTCAGGCGAGTTGTGTACAAACGTTTGATACAAACATCGCTTCATCATGATGCTGTCAGGATATAGAATTATTTTTCCGATCTGTGAGCACACTACTGCATAGCCCGACAGGTAACACCACCGCCGCCAGCGCCTGCATATAGACAGAGCAGGTATATCAATATTGATTAAGAGTAGATCTCTATTATCTACTCTTGATATTGATATACCTACCCGGGTATGGAACACGAGAAAAGCAGCAGTTACTTGTATTACTGCTAGTCAGGCAATGCGCCCCTCTCCCTCTAGTTGCCGTACTAAATTTACAGTATCAATAGATACTAAACGTGACGGTTGCACGGCACAAATTCATTCGCTATCCCCCACGAATATGATGGCGGGGGGGGGGGCTAACGCGCGGACGGAAGGAAGAGTGGGAATCCAACATAAACGCGGGCGTTATATCATAGAGATTGGCGATGTAACGATTAGAGGACACCATCAATTTTGCAGATGAGATTCTCTAGAGATTAGTATGCTGGGCGTGCGCTCCCGTACAACGACATTACAACACCACATTGGCTGCAGTCACACCACCGCGTTCTACCAAAAAAGTCGACATTATTGGGGAATATCTCGAGACAAAGAAAAACGAATAATGACGGAAACAATGAAAGCCAAGTACGCGTTGTCTCACTCCTCTATCATGTTTTTCCTCACTCTTCTAACGCATTTCCTTTATCTCTCTCTCCCCACCACCACTCCTTGTTCCTCTCAGCGTTACATATTCTTTATCAGAACAAACAAGACTATAGGATTATATGATGCCACTGATGATTGAGGACAGGGGCAGATAAAAATTTGATTAATTAAATTGATCATACAATAAGTGTTATTTTTCTTTCATTTTAAAACGGATTAATTGACTTCTCTTCTCCACAAGCATCACTTCCTATGATCCCCCGTCGTCCTCCCCTGACCTTAGGAACTGGCTTCCTATCCCCCGTCGTCCTCCCTAACCTCAGACATTGGCTTCATATCACCCTATCGTCCTTCCTTTGCTCTTGGCCTTTGTTTCATCTCCCCCATTGACCTTTCCTTACCTTGGGCGTTGGCTTTATATCCCCCTATCGTCCTTCCCTGACTTTGGGCCTTGGCTTCATATCACCCTATCGTCCTTCCCTGACCTTGGGCGTTGGCTTTATATCTCCCTATCGTCCTTCCCTGACCTTGGGCCTTGGCTTTATATCCCCCTATCGTCCTTCCCTGACCTTGGGCCTTGGCTTTATATCCCCCTATCGTCCTTCCCTGACCTTGGGCCATTGCTCAACCCCTTCAGCACTTGGCCCACCAGCCACGTAACAAATCAACTTGATTTCATGATATAGTTGAGATTTATATACAAAATTGTTGACATTGAAAATTAGCGACTTCGCACTGACATCGTTACTTACGTACATCACACATCACTGAAATATCACAAGATAAATATACATATACAGAAATATACGATACATAATTAGAGTTTGGCATGTCATGCCGCTATATAATTGGCAAGCTGTGACAAAAGCATAACAACAGCACGCCAATCTTTGACAACAGTCATTACTGAGAAACACGGCACCATGTTGACAGTATATAGAATCACACAGACACTTATGCAAAAATAACTCTATGAATGCAAGTTTCGGCAGAATCTTATAAAAGAGGTAACATGGCTAAGCAAGCAGGTAGTTACACATAAAGGCAGGAGTGCAGAATGTAGAAAACTCTATATTATGCATTCCTGATAAAGAACCTTCCATGCGAATGCATATATATATATATATCGATATAACACGGTACAACACGTTCGTATGAAATTACTATAGGAGTCTCAACGCATGAAAAAAATTCTCAAAAACTATCAGCGACATTCCAGCGTGGAATGACTGTGTATAAATATAACCCTCCCCTATCCTTAGCAAAAACGGACGGACCTATGGCGTATTTTCGTTCCATTTCCTCGTCACTACTTTTAACCATTACAAATATATTTCTGCAATAACACTGCAGTACAATATGAGATTACTGCTGTCGACACGAAAATAAAGTCATAGTAATAGGAGCAGCATTCAAATTCACCACGACACATAGTTAAATTTTGAAAAGTAGCTATTCAGATATTATCGGTTAAATAAATGCATGCACCTGACTAGGAGTTATCCAGCTGCATGCAACCCACTTAAAAGTGATTGGCGTTTTACACAAGCTGGAATGTGAAAATGTCAATCACCATTTGTACACACCTGTTAAAACGTGCTATGCATTCACTAATTCCTTAGTGCCACACACATTAACCCACAGTAGTATCCATAATATGAGAAATTATTGACCAGCTAATGCAGGTCACCATAATAAATGGCATATTACAGCAGACCGCTTGACCAAACTCAATCGTGACATTACGTTTGATTAACTTCATCAAATCGATCATTCTGACATAATCACTAGATGGCTAGAACCTTTCCTAAGCAACTTCTTTCTAATATACTGAGACACAGTTTTTTAATTGATTTTTATACATTTAATCATCATATTATAAAAGCGGCGGCAATGTGTTCTATATGGCAGAAAATCGCAGCTTTTTATCGGTCATGGTTTATAAGAGCACACAGTTGCACTCGGTGAACGTAATTAAGGCAAGCAACATGTATCCACCGATTCACAGGTGAATATACCTTACTCCACGTTCCACCTAGAAGTAGTCGTAGATGATAAAGGACTGCAGCAGTTGTAATGTGCCACAGAGGGCGCCACATATCACTGACATCTAAAGCCTTCAATATGAGACGAACAGTTGAACAGCTCTTTTATATGTGCATGACTACTACCCTGACTATATCAGACCTGCCCAGAGCACAAGGAAATGCGAATCCACATTTGCACTTTTGCCCCCAATGCACCGGAAAGTGAATAATATTCAAGAAATCACAGAAGAGAGCATTTCCCAATGACCGATTTCTTCCCCTGAGTGCGTCTCTTGTTTGGGTGCAGTTGGATGGTCTGATGTTTTTCATTGCCATTTCTGTTATCGATGCCATTTCCCGTCGTGAACACGTCTGCAACAGCACGTAAAAAAGCTGCATGTAAACAGAGGTTTTACGAAATCTATATCATCCAGAATAGTACAAGCACTTCGAAGCCGGCGCTATTTGCACACATCCACGCTTGAACCAATTAAGTCAGTTTACTAGCTTTGCGCTACAGCACTGTGACCAATTTTCACGCTGGCTGTGCCATGAATTACGCATAGCACTATGCCAAATAAGGCAGTCTACATGCAATTAGCGAGGGAGGCAGCACGCAGTTACTACAAAGCGCTGAGCTTAGTTGCACCGTCCAATCAACAGGAACAATAACTCAGCCGCTTACACTAAATGGTGAAATTGCAAATAGAAAATAAACACGATGACGAACGCAGCGTGGCAACTGTGGTTAACGCTGCCCAGTCAAGAAGTGACGTGGGAAGAGAAAGAGAGCCGTAACTAGATACAACTAGCTAATCGCTAGTTAGCAACAGCTAATCGCAGGCTCTCACCTGTCTGACCTTATATTGACGAATACTGAATCCTGAATACTATCGACCTGTAAAACTAACCCGGATCTACAAAGAACTTCGTGACGTACAGTTGCACTGATAGCACATCATCAGCTACGCATGGACAAGCTGCAGTACTGCAAGGCTAGATCAATATTGAACAATGTTGGTTTACACAAGAACAGTACTGCTCCCATTCCCCATCACCGCATAATGGCAATGCTAACGAAGAAATCAGATAACTGTCATCGTACAATGGTTGTGATAAAGACAGGAATTTACAAGTGAAATGCATGTGATGCAACTTTTTCCAATGACAGGTCACGGTTCAAGGTATTTATTTGTGCATAAATAAACTGACAACATTACATAATTTGTAACTCATTTCAGCGTGTTATGTTATTTTTGTCTGTTCTTATTAAATTTATAACAATATAATATAACAAACGCTACATGTAATAAGCTATATTGACCAACTCGTCTATCTTGTGATTTACACTTAGAATTACAAAACTAAAACGTGACTCTCCTGTGTTTACCATTTCTGCTGCGTTTGCTCACAAGGCATTTATTCATCCCCAGTTTACTTGTCACGGGTTTTCTGCACCTCGTGTAAGCTTACAGTATGCAATATTGCCCCTTACAATATTGGTCCTTGACATTTTAAATTAGTGAATAGCTACTTGTTCCTACACAGACTTACCAATACTTACGCTCATAGGGTCTATGTCCCCCAGGGTACTGCCGGAACGTACCCTGGTAACGCTCCGGTATACCGGAACGTACCCTGGTAACTATTTGATATGGTTAGGGTTAGGGTTAGGGTTAGAGTTAGGGTTAGGGTTAGGGTTAGGGTTGGGGTTAGGGTTAGGGTTAGGGTTAGAGTTAGGGTTAGGGAGTAGGCGTAGGCGACTCCCTAGACTCGTTAGTGAAGTAGGCAAGGTACGGTCTGGCATATTAGATAGTACCAGGGTACATTCGGGTATACCAGACGTACAGCATAGACCCTCTCAGCAATACTTACTTGGTCCACCGATTCTCTGCATTTGGCCATCATCTACACAGCTGTTCATCAGTAACATGTATTTGTCAGACAGATACCTGAAAACTGAAGCGAAGACACATGTGGTTTACTCTAGATTTCGTACAAGCTTCCAAAGCCGACAAGTATTTCACATCTATTTCACAGCCACATTCGAAAAGTTTCGCAGAGTCAGTGTTACGTGCTGGCAATCGACCTCCACAAGCTGCATTGTGAACGTGTCTCGATCGCCCACGTTATTACTCATGTAACCTCTGTTGTCATGGATACGTTACGACAACCACTCTCGCTGACATAATTCACAGTGCTGCCTGCAGCCCAGATATTAGTCACGGATAAGCAAGCTGCAATACAAAACAGCAACTCAAAGCAATGCTGTGTTGATTCAACTTCAAACGTAATCATAATTGATAATAACCAACCGTCAAATAGATTTACACAGATTCGTACACAGCGATAAATGAATACACCTATAAACATACAACGAAATACACTTCGATGCATACCTTCGTCGACGTGTAGGTTTTCCTTCACAGATGTCCGATAAAGTCGCAGCTTCAGTCGCTTAGCGAGTGCTTCCGCCTCCTCCCTGTAAAACATGCAGCGATAGTCGTGATGAGGCTTGCTAACGACCCGAGCATCCTGCATCCACCCTAATGAATCAACTATCCCCGGCAAGCTATAATGGTACCAGGATGCTGGGTGCGCGAGACTAACGAAGTGACGTACTTATCGAACATAGGGACGAGATGCGAACCAGGATGCACGCTGCGTGAACGACCTACGTCTGTAAAGGTCAGTCACGGAAAAACTCAAAGGGTGCTCGCTATAACTTATATAGAGATGGTTTCACTTGATAACTGCCTCACTAGGAAAACGCCAAAGGTTTCGTTTATAGACAACTGTCCATTTTATAAAACTGGTTCCACTGTATGATTGCCACTCTAAGAAAACCCCAACTGTCCTGTATAGGCAGGTGCCCGTTCTATAAAGGTGTACACTAACAGAGGGTTGTCTGTATACGTACTTGTTTACTACTGACTGTTCCACCAAGTCCATCTTATTCTGTACCAGTACACTGGGCACATAGCCACATTCAGCTTCCACCTGAAACAGCAAGCAAGCACTAGCCACGTCAGCACAGATGCTCACTGAAAGCATTAAATACAAAGTACGCGTAGTAGCAAGGTGAATAAAACTCATTAAATAAGTTCATTCGGTTGGTAGATAATCGAGCTATCTTGGTTAATTTTTACTCAACCGTGTTGATCAAAACGTACTGCTGACGTTGATCAACATGGTTGAGTAAAGATTAACCAAGATAGCTCTAAGGTGAATACAAGTAGACAACACGGGTGTATAAGAGACTTGCCAGAATAGAGTGGCCTATGGTAATGCATAATGGTGTTTCTATTGTGTTTCGTCATTTCTGCTGCTGTTGTTATTGTCGTTGTTGTCGTTGTTGTTGTTGTGTTGTTGTTGCTGCTGATGTTGTTGGCATCGTCGTCGTCGTCGTCGTCATTGTTGGTGTTGTTGGTGTTGTTGGTGTTGTTGTTGTTGTTGGTGTTGTTGGTGTTGTTGTTGTTGTTGGTGTTGTTGTTGTTGTTGTCGTCGAATAACCACGGCAATGCAGAGCAGTCGGACATCATTCTCCCCCATACTAACCACAGTGCTAGAACGTGTGGTGGGTACACTACCCTCTCTCCCTCTCACAAACATGGACAGTGCTAGAACGTGTGGTGGGTACACTAGAATCTCTGTCTCACACAAACATGCACAGTGCTAGAACGTGTGGTGGGTACACTACTAGAACCCCTCCCTCTCACAAACATGCACAGTGCTAGAACGTGTGGTGGGTACACTACCCTCTCTCCCTCTCACAAACATGCACAGTGCTAGAACGTGTGGTGGGTACACTACCCTCTCTCCCTCTCACAAACATGCACAGTGCTAGAACGTGTAGTGGGTACACTAGAACCCCTCCCTCTCACAAACATGCACAGTGCTAGAACGTGTAGTGGGTACACTACCCTCTCTCCCTCTCACAAACATGCACAGTGCTAGAACGTGTGGTGGGTACACTACCCTCTCTCCCTCTCACAAACATGCACAGTGCTAGAACGTGTGGTGGGTACACTACCCTCTTTTGTGCAGAGGGAAGGGTTTGCGAGTGTACCACTACACGTTCTACGCACTGCATGTGCATGTTTGTGAGAGGGAAGGGTTCTAGTAGTGTACCCACACACTTCTAGCACTGTCCATGTTTGTGAGAGGAGGGAGGGTAGTGTACCCGACCACACGTTCTAGCACTGTGCATTTTGTGAGAGGGAGGGTTCTAGTGTACCCCACCACACTTCTAGCACTGTGCATGTTTGTGAGAGGGAGGGGTTCTAGTGTACCACCACACGTTCTAGCATGTGCATGTTTGTGAAGAGGCAGGGTTTCTAGTGTACCACCACACGTTTCTAGCACTGTGCATGTTTGAGAGGGAGGGTTCATAGTGTACCACCACACGTTCTAGCACTGTGCATGTTTGTGAGAGGGAATGGTTCTAGTAGTGTACCCACCACCGTTTCTAGCACTGTGCATGTTTGTGAGAGGGAGGGTTCTAGTAGTGTATACCCCACCACCGTTCTTAGCACTGTGCATGTTTGTGAGTAGGGAGGGGTTCTAGTGTACCCACCACACGTTCTAGCACTGTGCATGTTTGTGAGAGGGAGGGGTTCTAGTAGTGTACCCACCACACGTTCTAGCACTGTGCATGTTTGTGAGAGGGAGGGGTTCTAGTGTGTACCCACACACGTTCTACGCACTGTGCAATGTTTGTGAGAGGGAGGGGTTCTAGTGTCCCCACCACACGTTCTAGCACTGTCATGTTTGTGAGAGGGAGGGGTTCTAGTGTACCACCACAACCGTTGATAGCAGCTGTCCATGTTTGTGAGAGGACAGAGAGGGTTAGTGGTACCCACACCTCAGCTGCTTCTAGGCACTGTGCATTTGTTGTGAGAGGGAGGGGTCTCTAGTAAGTGTACGGCATCCACACGTTGCTAGCACTGTGCATGTTTGCTGAGAGGAGTGGTTCTGAGTAGTGATACCCCACCACGTTTCTCGCACTGTCAAAGGTTTGTGAGAGGGAGGGATTTCGAGTGTACCACCACACGTTCTAGCACTGTGCATGTTTGTGAGGAGGTGAGGGGTTTTAGTGTACCCACACACACGTTCTAGCACTGTGCATGTTCTGTGAGAGGGGACGAGGGTTAGTGTACCCACCACACGTTCTACACTGTGCATGTTTGTGAGAGGGGAGGGGTTCTAGTAGTGTATCCACCACACGTTCTCAAGCACTGTGATGTTTGTGAGAGGGAGGGTTCTAGTTAGTGTACCACCAGCAGTGAACGCACACGTTCTAGCAGCTTGTGCCATGTTGTGTGAGAGGGCGGGGTTCTAGTGTACCCACCACACGTTCTCATGCCAGTGTGCATGTTTGTGGAGCGAGAGAGATTCTAGTGTACCCTCACCACAGTTCTCAGCACGTGTACACATGTTTGTGAGAGGAGCAGAGGGTAGTGTACCCACCAACACGTTTACGCACTGGTGCATGTTTTTGAGAGGGAAGGAGTTCTATAGTGTACCCACCACACGGTTCTAGCACTAGTCGCCATGTTTTGAGAGGGAGGGAGGGTAGTGTAACCCACCACACGTTCTAGGCACTGTCATTTTTGTGAGAGGAGAGGGGTTCTAGTGATACACTCTACACGTTTCTATGCATCTGTTGCAATGTTTGTGGAAGGGAGGGGTTCTAGTGTATCCCACCACAGCGTTTTCTAGCAACTGTCGCTTGTTTGTGAGAGAGGGTAGGGTTCTAAGTGTACAGCCACACGTTCTAAGCAACTGTGACTGCTATGTTTGTGGAGAGAGGAGGGGTTCTAGTGTTACCCACCACACGTTCTTAGCACTGTGCATGTTTGTTGGAGAGGAGTGGTTCTAGTAGTGTACGCAGCACACGTTGAGCACTGTTGCATGTTGTGAGAGGGAGGGGTTCTAGTCGTGTACCCACACACGTTCTAGCAGCTGTGCATGGTTTGTGCAGAGGGAGGGGTTTCTAGTGTACCCACGCACACGTTTCTAGCACTGTGCATGTTTGTGAAGAGGAGGGGTTTCTAGTAGTGTACGCCACCACACGTTCTAGCACTGTGCATGCTTTGTGAGAGGGAGGGTTCTGTAGTGTAGCGCCACCACACGTTCTTAGCACTGTGCATGTTTGTGAGAGGGAGGGTTCTAAGTGTACCACCACACGCTTCTAAGCATGCTGTTGCATGTTTGTGAGAGGAGGGGTTCTAGTGTACCCACCACAGTTTACGTTGCTTATGCACTTGTTCGCATGTTTGTG